TCTACTTCTCAAGCTGTGGGCACTAACGCTGAGACAACATGGCGATAGTACCATCTCAAACAAGTATGAATTCCAATGCCGCAACCTCTGGTCCACAAACTTCCAACCGCCGCGTGCGCATCCAGGAGACCGTTGCTATGCCGTCCACCCGTCCCCGATGAGGTCAGTCAATGGTGAGAATTCTATAAAGCATCTTCCCTGAGGCTATGTAGCAGTGCTGACCAACCTGGTCCTTGGTAGCAGAACCAAACCTTGTCTCAACTTATCTCCTGTTCGCAGGCTGCAAACAATCCCACTGAGACTCTAGAAAACCACAGCATGTGCCTTGAGACAGTGAAAGATCTCGAGCGTGATCTGCACAATAAAGAAGCAGAAAGAGATAGGCTGCTGAAGGAAAATAATACTTTAAAGCAGCAGCTCTCGCAGATACAGGATGCCCAGTCCGTCAGCCACACATGGGAGGACATACAGCAGGCCGTCCACGGAGCCCAAGAGGCCCTCAACACCTGCCACCAGCAACTTGTTAGCTGTATGACCCATGAGGTCAATATAGGCGTACCGTCTGCCACTGTATCAGGATCGACAGCTGAACAGGATTCCTTCTGGGCGAGCCAAGACGAGGGACTTGGGATATTGAATCCTCTTTTTAATGTTTAATGATCAAGCAATGCAAGCCAAGACAATTCATAGAAATTGCAACCGGTGCAAAGTCATATATTTTATTCTGGTCTGGCTCTCTCGTATCTCGTAGTTTGAGTCAATTTGGGAATGACCAGATACAGTAGTTGAAACATCTGTGAGGGTGCGAGTGGGCGAGCATCCGCCCCTGCGACCCATTACCGTCCTATCTGGGTTTCCAGGCTTTTAGGGTCTGTTATCTGTTATGTCAGGACAGCATTTATTTTCTACGCCTTGTCTTTTCTGCTGCAAATCACATGCCCGGGCCTAGAGACTGATGGCCAAAATAACCTGTTGCTTGACATGGGCTGTGGGAGCAGTCTGGAAGTCATTGGAGCGCTCTGACCTTGCTAGATTGCAAACTCCCAGAACTCCTCAGCTCATTGGCTCCATCAAATAGTAGCCAGTGATCAGCGGGCCTGCCTTCTGGCCCGGCCGTAAATAGAGATGCCTGTAAAAGGTCCCACCGGAGAATAAGGAAGCGCCGACCGCCTAATAAGTAGAGCAAAAGGACCAAGACGACCGGGGTCCGATTGGACCAGGAATGTGTATGCTTATCCATTCAAGACAGGTTCTTTCGGGGATATAGAATTTTGCCCCCCATAAAACTTGGGTATATGCCTTGGTGAGAAAACCTCTGTCAGATTGGTATGATATCATTCTCACTGCAGATTTGATCAAATTGGGGAGTAAGATGACTCCCATGGCCATCAAGAATAAGCAGTCGATATCGGCCAGTTGTACGGCTAGTAGTTGCCGGAATAAAGACTTTCTGAAGCCACCGTAGTCCAATTTGATCAGTTGTCCATCCATTAGCACTGACTTTAATCCGCCAGTCAGGTGGTAAGGCTGAAACTTCATACCAGCCTTCAATATAGACTTCTCCTTTAAAGATAATACATGGTGGAAGCACTCATCCAGTAGAGCTAATACACTCTATAGAGGTAACCCATTCTCAGTTTCCTGGCTGGACAAGAAATGGCTGACTAAGCATCTCAGCTCTAGTAATAACTTTAGCAGTAGCTACTAAGCCTATTGCAAAGCCAGTCTCATCAAAGTTATAGATATCCTTAAGTGCAATCCCATGCTGCATAATAGTGATCTGAACGCGATTAAACCATTCCTGGATGATCTTTGGGTCTTCATATTTAGCACGCTGATGATTATAGCGCCTAGAGAATCGGGTTTTAATCCCATCGTGTCGATTAATGAAATTATAAACCCAGTTCTTGCCAACTATTTGGGAACCAGATAATCCATGTTTTGACAGTAGGATATTAGCCATTTCTTAAACATAGGACAGTCGAGGAGCCGCTCCACATTGATCCATAGATAGAATCCACTTAATGAGTGATTCCTCTTCATTTTGAGTCATCTTATGCCCATTTGCGCGAGCCTCAGCTCGAAAGGTATGCCCATTTAGGCGTCGTCGAAGAGTTGTACGGGGTACATTATAAACACGTGCTGCTTCGGCAATATTGCGGATTTCTTTTTTTTTCCAAGGCAGATATTGCAAGTAGTAGCCTACCCTCCTGCTCAGCCGATTCTTTTGATTTTTATGCAGGTTTGGAGAGATAGTGACGCGTTAAATTTGAATCATAATAATAAGACGCGGGCAAATGTGAAAGGGTGGTCGCTCGCTCGCTTGGAATGGCCGCTCGCTTGTGGATTACGTTAATTGAGCGGGTGCTGACTCATCTGGCGCTAAGCCTTAAGCTATTCGCGCGGTTAAGCGCCTTAGTGCGGTGGGTGCTAAAGGAGAGTGTTCTGTCAAGCCAGATACCTAGATATCTGGCGGGTTCGGTCGGTTGGATCACGGTCTCCCGATGGCGGACGGGCATTTGGTCGTGCCCCTTGTATTCATAAATCTCTCAGATGTCTCTGGGCTGTGTCGGGGATGGGGTTGGTTCATGCTGTTGCTCAGGGTCCTTCGGGTTGGTGAAGTGGATCAGTTCAAACTTATCCAGAGTAAACTTAGCACCGCGCTTATCCACCTAGTGGTCTGCCTTTACCAGACATCCCTCAAGGGCTCTGACATTGGCAGCAAATATATTACTAACTACCAGGCTGCAGGCGTTGTTAACCCACCCAAAGGACACTATACAGGCATCCCTAGGCGTGTGGATAAGGGCTCTGATTAGGGGTGAATTAAAGATAAGGAAAAGAATCAGTAAGAGGGGGCTGCCCTGTGGGATGCCTATGGATGTTGAAAAGATGTCGCTCAGGAACCCCGGCAGTTATAGGCGGGTTAGCCAGTCAGAGAGGAAAGAGCTGAGCCAGGCAGTAAAACAGCCTAGCCCCATTCTCTTGAGGTTATGGATCACACAGGGGTAAGAAACATTATTGAATGCACTAGTAATATCTAAAAGAAGCATACTTACCTTGCTGCCTGTCCCCCAAGCGCGGTGGATGATATCTAGGATCAACTGGATAGCATGATCAACTAAGATGTCCTTTCAGCCGCGCAGGTGGTCCTTATGGAGCAGGTCATGTTCCTCTAGTGCGTATGCGATGCGCACAGCAATGATTGGCTTGAGGATCTTGCCTAGGGTGTTGAGCAGGGCGATGGGGTAGGATTTAGATAGGCGAAAATCGCGGGGCGCTGATTTGCGCAGGACGACAGTGGTCGAGGTCTGAAAGTGGCGGGGGTTATATCCCACGCGGATACACGCATTAAAGAGGTTTTGAAGTGTCCGAATGAATGAGAGTATTGTAGATAGTGTGTGCCAGATCTTGTTTGGGATTGCATCGGGGCCGGGCGCCTTGTCAGGGGGCGCCCGTCGGATGGCCTGGACGACCTCGTGGTTGTTGATGTCGGGGAAGTCGATATCCCGGGTAGGGTCATGCTGGCGTCCTTCGATATCGGACAGATCAGCGGGGGGCGGGACGGGGAAAAAGACCTCTCGGAGCATGTCGGCTTTCTGCTCGGCAGTCTCCGCGGTCCGATCACCTTGGCGCAGTGTTGGGATGGCGCCTGCTTGGCTGGCACCCCAGGACCGGGCCCATCTGGCGATGCGCCACATGCCCCGGGGGCTGTCTTCAATGGTTTTCTGAACGCGCCGGCGGTGGCCGCGCTTCAGGGACTTGTTGATTACCTTGCCTTTTCGGTTCCGGATCTTGGTATAGGCAGCCTAGGCCTCGTCCGTGTGCAGGAGCGAGTACACCCGCCGCTGGAGGCGGGCAAGTTTCGCCATCCCGGTGCACTCCGGTGTCCAGTCGGGTTTGGCCCAGGCCAACGGCCGCGCCCATGGGGTGGAGCGGGCGATCGCCTGCTGAACTACCTCGACGAGGTGCTCGGTGGTGTATTCAATCTGAGAGGATGATTCTAATCTGTGTGGGTTTGAGTGCAGATTAGCATCTACAAATTTGCAGAGTTTCTTTGCATCTGTGGCTTTCCAGTTGCGGCGCCTTAGGGCCGGCGGCGCAGGGGTAGTAAGATCTAAAAGAAGGCGGATCGGGAGGTGGTCTGAGTCCGCGTGGACATCGGGGGCCATCTCGCAAGCTACCACCCTGGCCGTGAGGTCCATGGATTCCAAATGTGAGGTCGATTGTTGATTGGTGGCCTTGTTCATCGCGCGTGACGGCCCCGGGCTCAGTCTATAGGTCAAGGGACCAAGCGTCGGTAAATTCGAGAAGCTTGTCAGACCTGGGGTCGGTATGCCAGACAGCATCGCCGCCCCAGGCAGGGTGGTAAAGGTTAAAATCCCCAAGGAGCAGGCAACCACTGTTCTGGCGGTTTACCACTTGCTTAAGGAGGTCGAGAGTGTTGATTAGTATGTCGGAGTCTAAGCAGGGATTATATATATTGAAGAGGCGGAGCATGCCGGTGTTGTGTCATAGCTCAAGCTCCTGGCAATCCCGCGAGTAGATAGTATGCTTCTATCTGATTGGGTCGATTCGCCGGGAGACATAGAGGCAGACGCGCGCGCGCCTGTCTCCGCGGCATCTGGGTAGAGTAGTTGATGGGATATGTTCGCTGGGTGGTGGGTAGTGTCCTGGAACGGGTTGTCCCAGGGCTCTTGGATGGCGATAATGTCTGCTTTGAGGACCCTTGGGTCCCGCAGAAACTGAGCCATCACTACATTCTTTGAGCAGCGCACGTTGTACTGGAGAATCTGAAGTAGTCTATTCATAGGTAGTTCTTAGCTGGCAGATCCGTATGCTTTAGCAGGGAATCTGTACCGCCTTGTTGCTGATCTCGGGGATATCAGGCATCGGGCTATCCCCGTTAGGGTCCACCAGCTCTCCAGTGATTACTGGTGGGTTAACCTCTGCCAGCTGGTTAACATGACGCTCAAATTGCCGGGAGGCATCTGTGGCGCTTAGTTACCGCTGGCCTGGCCCTCTACCGGTGTTCGGGCGGTAGAGGCGCGGGCCTGGCTGCGGGTCTGCCTCGGCTCGGTGGTCATGGATCCCTTGGATGATCCCTGCGTTGTCATGGATCCCTTGGATAATCCTTGCTTCTTTTTGGCTGTTCCCCTTGATTTCTTGAATTGCACGACCTTCTCTGGTGGAGAGGTACTGGGCGCGGTGGCGCTTAGTACGGCAGTGGAATCCGAGCCGCTACTCTCAGAATCCTGGCGGAAGTCCTGTAGATAGGGCGGGACGCGGTGGTACCGCTTGCGATACCGGGCCGACGTCTCTACCTTCTCTGCTTCTTCCTGATATTTCGGGCACTCATGGTTCTAGGCAGCATGTGCGCCCCCGCAATTAGGACGCTTTGCGACTCCCTGGTTGGCAGCTTTTCTCTGGGGACAGCCACGGGTCTCATGGCTACCCGTGCAGTAGCCACAGACAGTTTCTTTGGTGCAGATGCTTCCTATGTGGCCGAACTGTTAACAGTTGTAACAGCGCCGGATCCGGCCGGCCTGGTCAAAGAGAACCGTGGCCAGGATTGTGGCATTCCAGATTGTCCCCCTGTCGATTGCTTTGTTGGCAGCTTGGGGGGTAGTAAACTCGACGACTAGGTAGGTTTCTTAACCGCCGGCTGGCGACATCATTGTGAGAAACTCGGCCAAGACTGAGGAGTCATATCAATGTAGATAGTGCGCGTCATCACCTGCTAGGGCAATGAAGGGAAGCATAAAGCTGTCAACATCGATAGTTACAGACACTGGGGAGCATAGAATTACAACAGACACGCTCACGATTCCTGATAGTAAGAACAGAGGTAATTGATAAGCTACTATCCATGGCGAAAGCACTCTGGTGGGGTATACAGATGTTGTATAAGGACCAAAGCCGAGCTGTCAGTTTAGCATGGCGAAGTGGATAGAACCCAGATCTGGATGGAGATGTCTGGTACTATGATAGGTAAATCTTGCCCCGAGTATCATGCAAGTGGTTAGTTACCGGTTTTTGCTTGTAGCGCAGGCCAAAGGTAGACTTCAGATCTCAGGTTTTCGATGTTCTATCATCTCCATTGTATTAAGTCATGGACGCTAAGGCGCTGGACAAGTAATCACCAGAAGGCTATTATTATTGACCAAAGATCGCCTGCAATCCAGCTCGACTTTTCGAGAGGATCTCTTTCAACCGGGGTTCACGGTCTAGCAACGTCTCCAACAACTGTGGCCAATATCATTGTAGCAGCTCACCAATAGTAATATAAGCATAGGCATCTCTGTTCGAGTCTGTCTATAGGCTTTAGGATCATTAGGATTGCCCTACCTTAACTCACTTTAACTCACCTCACCTTACCTCTCCTCACCATACCATTCTCATGATACTATTTAAGAAGAAAGAGCCAAATTTGCAAAATAGGAATCTAATGAATATGATTCTTTTGCATAGGCATTCGCGTTATAATTTAGAGCCTTGAGTGAGGCTATTGTTGGTAAAATTTTACTTTTATAGAATAGAATAATTTCAATTTAAAAATTTTTCTGATTACTGACATGGAACTCCTCTATTATAATTTTGAATCTGTAATAATATGTCTTCCAATTCTTCCAAAGGGAGATGTTCGTTTGGAGTAACGTCAACATGGCCCAGCTTTGTCAAAAATAGCTTCCTCAATTGCCTCTCCATGAAGACGACACACACGCTTATCACATCAAGAGGACTATCTAAATAGTCGAAACGACGTGGCAAGTTGCCCCGTGGTAATAGGCCGCCATTGGAACCTAATGAGTTAAGATGGGTAAGCACATGCACATTCATTCTTATCATATGTATCGGTAACATTCCTTGCAGAGGAGCTGTCTAGACAACCTATGTCTGATGCAGTGTCGCTATCTGCACAGCAGATGAATCAAAGAGTGAATAGAGGGAAAGGCGATGAAGTCACTATCCATGCGTTCAAACCCCTCCCCCACCACCGGCTCTCAAGTCCCGTTCCTTGGGCCGGTAAGGTTGTTGATAGGATGGTAGAATACTTCACTAACAGCTCCTCAGCAAAACATGCAATCCAGGTACCAAACAATGCAGAGGAAATCGTTACGTACATTAACCATTGCAAGAGCTTGGAAATTACCAAACGTTCATATCTCAGACGGGAAAGTATCAGCATCAACAGAACAGAATGTTTAGGATTTATATGATATATAAGCAGCATTACCAAAGCAACTAGAGCGTCTGACGTTATCCTGTATGCCATGCCTCGTGAACATGGGCAAAGGACGCCTGAAATCGATTCCGCCTTGCTGATCTCGCCCTTCTCACTTTTGAATCCAACTATATCTCCCTTTCCCCCGACGCTAATCACTGATTATAGTACCATGACCTTGGTTTGTATCATTCCGCGCACCTATAATTCTTGATGCATGTTCATCCCAGTCAAGGGACTATCAAGCATTGGTCAACTATAGCTTGCACACGAGGCTGAGTTGGAGTTTTTCTAGTGCTGCAACGCCAAAACAGTCAGGGATCTTGTCACAAAGGCCATAGCAGTAGCACTCACTAAAGATCTATTTTAAGCATCAAGAACCAACATTAAATGTGGCTAATCAGACAACCACCTTTACGAGGTTTACTCCCCTGGTCGAGCGTGGAATCTCTATGCATCAATCGAAGGATGAGCCTTTTGATTCAACAGAGTGAGCGCTGACCTGTGTAGGCTGACATTCTTGCCCAAAAAGTCACAATAAGACCGCCGCCCGAATGTAATCCATCCCTAGGAAAGAAGGCTCAAGCCTCAGCAAATACAGGCAGTTCAAGCATATTGTTAATAACCTCCGTGTCGCTGGAAACGATGCGCTTGAGCTTTCCGAGCCGACGAAAAATTGGTCTTGCAGTCAGTGCACCAATAATGAAAGTCTGTATCATGTTGCCGAAGGCTTCTCCTGTCCAAAAACGCCCTACTGCAGTTGTGACAAAAAGAATCTCGTCCCAGTCCTTGGTACATGTACGCCGGAAGATTATAGCCGGGCTTTGGTTCGGTCTGCTTTGCACTGGTACGAAAGTCTCATTGAGGTTCTGGCGAGATAAGACAGCGAGGAGAGGCCTACCACAATTGGACTTCTAACTGAGCCACCTTTTCCATAGCCAGAACTGAAAATTCATATCCAAATTCCGGGAACTGCTTCAGAACCTCGTGGAATCTACGAGATTCCTTCAAAGTAGAAAGATGCTGAATGCTATATTTCGTGATGATACTTTGTAGATCAGATTGTTTAGGGCACTCTGGGCCATATGTGTACTCCACAATTGGAATGAATTCTGTGTCTTTCCAATCATGTTGTAGGTTTGACTCGAGTTTCTCTCTGGCAAGGTTCTTCAACTCATTGATTCCGTATTTATCAGCAATGACGTATACTTTGGCATTAACATGCGCCTTTGATTCTTTTACCTGCCAAATCGGAGCTGGAGCAACATCATATTCATTATCGCTTCCGATTATTGCCACCTCCTCCGATTCGGATTCAGTTGTATCCGAGCACTCCTGGCATTTGGGGAGATCTTTGTCGGAAGAGTCATCGTAGTCGGCAGAATAAAGATAGTCAATCATCTTTGTAACAATGAGTGGGTCATCATAGATGGTGACCTCCTTAGATTCGGTCTCCTACAGATGGTAAGTCTAATAGTTTTGAGAAAGGCCCAGCTGTTTTACTTGGAATTGGCTGCTCATTGCCTTGTCAAAAAAGCGTGATTGCGGACAGACAATACAGCGATGTAGGCTGAATGTTGATGCTCCACATTTGACCTGGAAGTCAGAGAACGAGCCGTTTTTTCTGATGCTTTGGAAAATCAGACACCATCAATAAAAAAAGAACGAGAATCCATACCTGGACAAGGCCGTGAGGAGGGAACTCATATCAGTCCCCATCGTATTGTATGTGAGGATGGATAAACGTTTTCGTTCCTTTTGTTTTAACCCTACCCCCTTGTCTTAACCCTTCCCCCGGTTTCACGAAATTGGCGTTCTAAATTGAATTGGAAGTATTGTGTCTGCCACGACAAAAAAGCGGGGTAGGGGGTTTACCTGGTTTCTCTCTACAATACTCTAAATTTAAATTGATCCGGAGCCGGAAAAATAGGATGTCCGCTGCTTTACCACTCGACTGATACCCAATCTTGAAAAGGCCGTCAACTGTGATCCCTACATATCGAGAAAGTCCATGAAGAAAATCCTATATAATAATGTCGTAAATGTAGGCCACCGCAGCTAGCTAGCCTCAGTGATTATCATTCTTGAGGCGAAGCAAGAGACTTATCAAAGGAACTAAGCCACGGAGAGGATGCCCCGAGCCGGCGTGCGGCGCGGTTGAGCATGTGGCAGTGGCCAACAATGCGCGGAGTTAGGCGCCCTTCCTATCAGCCTTGCCCCTGAACTTATAAATAGGAGCCACCATCAAGATCTGGCAAGACAGAACAATTTTCTACTCCTACCAGCCGACTAGTTTGACTCACATGTCCCAATGGCAGCTCTAAGTGACCTGCCACCCGAGGTGCTAACGATTATTTTTCAAGCTCTATCACCCTCAGCAATCGGTGACATCAACGACGACGATATTGCAGCCTCACAGGAATCGATTGTCCCACTGTTATCTCAGCATCAAACATACAGCAATTTGCAGTTCCTAGACATCCGAATCTGCTGGCTGCGCTGAAGCGACCGCTTTTTTCAGGCGATCTTCCCCTCCAACGCCTAAGAGCCTTTCAATGTGTGAACTGTGGGCCTGAGATATGGGAAATCATACCACATTTTCCGCCGTTATCTCGCCTATCTCTAAAGAGTCTCTCATGCAACCCGTCTACATTGCATCTACAGGCGTCCAGTCTACCTATTGAGCATATCTTGCTTGAGGGATGCAACCTTGATTCACAAGCTATATGTGTGATGATCAGGAGCTGCAAACATCTTGTGAGCTTCCAGTATCTTCGTCCTCGCCTTCACCAAGAGACTTTCATGGGTATCATGCCCCTAAAGGCTCCAAAAATTTATGAAGCTTTGCTTCTTCACAAAGATCACCTGGAAGAATTTCTTGTGCAGGATATTGATTATAGGATGTCATATGATAAGACCGCAAAGTTTGGATCCTTCGGGAACTTTCCTGCTCTCCAGAGGCTTGGTGTGGATTTTAACACCCTATCCGTGAAAGCGTCCTTACCGCCGTCACTGCGTTCGATAGCAATCCGGCACTGCAGCTCAGACCCATGCATAGATGTACTGCTCTATATAGGTCGCCAACCATCAGTGAAAGCTATTCAATTCGATGAGTCCGATGGGGGAATTTCGATTTTCTTCCAACAGATGCAATCATCAGGGCGGATACGGAAGGAAATCCAGGTTCATCTTGTGTCCGCGTATACTACCTACGCCAGGCTACCCAACCATCCACCCCTGGTCAATAATCCTTTGTCCTGGATTGGTACTTCAGAACTCAGTTAAGGATCTCCGATAGCCAGTTCAAATTTTATGTGTCAGATGTCCAGCTTATAGAGTACTCCTTACGCTAATTGTCGACCTACCACTGCACGCGAAGTGACGACGCGGTTTCTAGAATGAGGGACGACTGCTATTGCTTCTCTAGTTCCAGTCACGTAGCACTGTTCCTCTAGCCAAGCACAGACAGATTTACCCAGGCTTCGGACAAACAATGTACTGTAAAAGTAGTATTGTACTAGGCGATACATGAGAATGTCAAGCAGCCCTACGCCACGGATTTTCCAGAAAATTTTCACAACTTCCACCCTCACTATTGGCCGATTAAACGTGTTATTGCACTGACCATTTTGATTCGGTCGTATGCCTGGCCCCCTGCTGATCCAATCCCTTTGGTCGGATCTCTATCACCTTACTCTGCAGAATACGAGCTTGACCTGGATTTGACCCGGTTTGGTTATCGGCCCGAACCGGACCAAACTAAGACGGCCTTAAAGAACTCGACGTCAGCTCCCCCCTGGCCTTGAATATTGTACACTCGGATTCGAAATCTCCTTCACCCCCACAAAATGAAGTTAGATCCTAAATTCCTAACGTCAAGGCAGGCATCCAGCCACCAGTCCAAACAAGGAGGATTGTAATATATGTAGACGCGCGCTGTCCGCGCTGCGGTCCTCAATCGACAACAAGGGGAGGGAGAAAGAGATACGTGCGGGTGACAAGCGAAATTAGTTACTCGTCCAGCCAAACTCAATCACACCAGTGGTGTGAAGAGGCCCAGCGGCTTCAAACTGAGTAGCTAACCCCTGACACTCATGGGTTTGCACTTGGCATACAGGCGAGCGTAGCTCCCAGGCCGAATTATCACCCACGGTGAACGACTCCCCGTGGCATTAGAGCATGCGTTCGAAAACCATCTTTGGTGGACGAACCCTGGCCGTCTGGGTCGTAAACATTCTAGCTCGTTGGAGCTAGGGCTTGAGAACACATGCACTGCTCCAAATTTCATAGTTATCATATTGGAGTTTTAAAGCTGTGTAGAACTAATTTATTGGCCCCAAAAAAACATATGGGTGCGAGAGAAAAAAAAAAAAGCTTGGCGACTGTGGTCAGTCAACGCTGAACAAACAGGGAAAAGGAAGAGAAAGTCGATATCCATGGTCATGACACCCACCCCTGATGAATCCGTTGGTATTCCAATGCTAGCTGGCTCTGAGTTTCGCCCTTCACCACTGTTCCGTGGCGCCTCTCTGCGTGGCTCAAAAGATCAAATTTATGTCGAAGTGGTTCTCCTTCGCACATACTACACCCAAACCTTTCATCCGGCCACGGGGGGTTGATGTGGAACCGAAGGAAATGCCGGGTGAGAGATCCCGGCGTTTTATACTTGGAGAGCCGGTTGGGGAACGAAAGATTGGGATATCCTAAACAGACAAAGCATATCAGGGATCGTTGTTTGGGACACGTGACCTGTACGGATTCCACCGCTTCCCGCAGAGCAATCTCGGCCTCGTCTTCCACCAAGTCCCGCTGTCGCTTGGCCGGGCGGGGCGAATTGTCGGCCTCGGGCACAGGTCGACGGCAAGGCTGAGTTCGCGGAGTAGGCCGCCCCTCCTCCACCGGCCAGAAGGCCATCATAGCATCAATCGCATCAATCCGGCGTTGATGCTCGGCTTCCAGGGTGGTACCCGGGACGGTCAGTATGGTATCGATCATCCTGAGATATTGTGGAGCCATGGAGCTCTTCTGCTCAAAAGCCCCCATGACCCTCGTATCCACGAGCTTTCCCGAGAGTTGATGTTCCAGGTCAATCACAGGCTGCTCGTCTCGGTATCGCTTTAGATTCTCGCGGACCCGCCGATTCCGCTAGCGCTGACAATGAGAAAAGCCGAATTGCTGAGGAGACATGAGCCCTTTTATGTCCGCATCATAGTGAAATAAGGATACATATTACCCCTCGCCTCGCTCCCCTATCTCTCTTACCATTCTTTTCGACCAGGAGGGGTGTATACTAGCATACTACCGGATGCACGGATGCACGGTCGTGGTCTGGACCTGCGGGATATGATTTTAATGACATTGTGCCGCGAGATGCGATGGAGGGCTCGAGCATGGTACCGGATCTTCCGATTAGCTATCCTGGAATAGCACAAGGTTCAGATGAGATGCTTTCTTGGTAGCCTGCCAGCACAGCCAGAGTGTTCGATTGTTGTATGCAGTTCTTAAAGTTTAGTTCGCTCACATATCAATGTCTGCTCCTTTCAGCTGGGCTTTTTCTCCAACTTCTAGAAACTAAGGAAATAGAGCTTTTCCAGTATTTGGGTTTTAAATTTTGATACTCAGTCATTTGCTCTAATTGGTCAGAATCACGGGCCCAGAGTGATGGCCCCTTATGCGAATCAGAATTATTTTCAAGTTAGCGGGTTCGCAGTAATACCCATGTTCAGGACATAACTGATCATCCGAATCTATCCCTCTGATGAGCGTCGTGGAGCCTGTGGCTGGGTCAGGGAGCAATTTTATCATCATTCAACCCCAAACTTTTTTTCCTTAGTCGAGGGAGGAACGTGGTCTGTGATTCGCTAACCAGGCACGCAGCAATCAGGCCCTTGGATCCCAAAGTATCAGAGAAGCCACCCTTGCTTCCATTAGAGAGATGCTTCGCGGTGGCAATGTCATCGTTGGCATCACCGGGGTGCCTTTCGCAGGATAGGCGTATCCCACGAACTTCGGATGTGGTTGAACTTGTTTCGTCGAGGTCCGACCCGTTATCCACACTTGGAGGTGCTACTGAAGCTTCACAGCTCCTACCCTCGCTGGTGTTCCGTATCCATGAGAATAATTCATCCGGATGGGCTTCAGCATCCCTTTCTTCTCAGACACCAAGAGATATTTTGGTTGCGAGAACCATTCAGGAGCTCAGAGAGAATCATGAGTGCGTGCATGATAGATGGAAGTATATTCGGGGACCCTATCGATGTGAGGAGTGTTCCTATTATCTGCGGGAATATATATTCGAATGTCGTCAATGCAGGATTCAGGCTTGCAATCGTTGCAGAAGGAATAGGCTTTAGTCAGAGTGAATGCAGATGTTTTAGTAACTAATTCTTCGATATGTGTTGTATCATAGGACAATTTACTCTCTTGGCTTTTCGTGGTTTGATTTTGTCCGTGAAGAAGCTTCGACAATTGACTGCTCTGCCAAGGCTTTTTGTATGACCCGCTCAGTAGCTATGGAATCGGTTCAATTCTATATAAGACAGAAAAAATACCTTACAATCCCGCTACCAAGGTTTTAAGTGCTGTGCTGAGGCAGACCCAGTTCTTCTAAGCTCTGGTGGATCTCATCCCTGGTTTTGCATGTCTCATAAATGTATTGACGGCAGGCCAACTGCTAATTCAGGCGGGACATGTCGAGGAATGTAAGGAAATTGGTGTTGCGCTCAGGTTCGTCAGCGACATTACCCTACGGACTAAAGACCGTGACCAAGGGGACGCTGGAAAGGAAGAACCTTCACTCAAAATCCCTTGATGGTCAAGCAATCTGTGGGTCAGGAAAGCTTCGTTCATGGGTCAAACTATTCCATACCCCCGTCGAATGTGGTGTACAGCCTATTACTACTGTATTGACCATGGCTCAGAACGGCCTAAATAAGTACCAGGTATAGGCCCCCCTTTCCATCGTTGGCTTCCAGTCTTCCGTTGATACAGTAAACAATATTGAACTCTTCAAGCTCTATAGTCCGTACGCCATCAGACCACATTGCACCGCCTTCCGTACTCCGTCTTAGACAGAAAATCCACTGTGGTTGCTCGATTTTGTACAATTCCTGTTCCACGTGTACGAGGCCCGGAGTGAATGACGGCTCCTGCCACTCATTAAAAGATGACTTCATTATACTTGCCCGGGTACGAAATCAAACCTTCAATAGATCGCAAAGCATCGACACTAAATAATCCAAATCGAGAGACTTATTCTTTTCCACGTCGCAAGTCATTCCTTCAACGGCATTTTCATTTTCATCACTGAAAGTACATATGTTGCTGACAACACCGCTGACGTCTGGGACAGGGTGCAGAACAGTAATAAAAGACATTTTTCTGAGGCACATTTATTGCCTTCTGTGGACTCTACTGTGTCAAAGGCTGCAGTGCCATTATATCGGGGGAGCTGGTCTGGGATGATAGTACGAAGCGGGGTATTGGGACCCAACAATGAATTGGGCTCCAAACATAGCCACGCCATTTTGTTCCGCCATCTGCAAACAACTTTATCAGTGGTTAGTCACATTGCATTCGGGAATTGATCATCACCTGCAAGCAATCGCTTCCCTCCACAACGACATCTAACCTTGAAGTAACTAGTCCCTCTTTAAGTGGGGTATAATCGGAGTCGCTTTCCTTCCAGAAGTTTTCGGAACGCACCGCACAACTTAATTGCAATCATTTGATGAGCTTAGCACCGATATTCTAGTGTTTTCCCATCATTTCCTTTACGCAGTAGTGCGAGTGAGGGCGCGATGAGACATGCCTCGGTGCACAGATGTTAGCCTCCGGGCTGGTCATGGCCACCCACTATTGGGTGGCCAATGTGGCCGCCTGGGGCTAGTGTCTTACTGCGACTGTACTGGGCGCTTCGAGCATAGTTTCTCACCGCCCCCTGGATTCAAGGCAACGACCGCAGTTCTGTGACGCCACGAATTTCAGGCGCCATATTTGCTGTTAACCATAGAATTTTCCGTGCAAGCCATGTAAATATAGCTTATATTAATATTACCCAACATAATATGGGTCAGACCACCGAGCAATCGAAGCAACTTTCACAGATCTAACTCAGCAAAGACCTACCAAAAAGATAACTAACCCCAATACATGTGGAAAGGTGTCTGAAACCATTAAAGCTTATCATAAGTGCGCCCATCACCCTACTGTAAGTAGTGGTGGACAGATAAACTAACTGAACTCTGTAATAATGTGATTTGCAAAACAATAATGCTAATGAGTAATGACTACCGTTGCTTATTTACATAACCCTTAAAAAGTTAAGCCAAGACGCCAAGTTTCAAACTTTTGTGAGGCATGGCGATCAAGTTAGCTAAACTTAGCGCCAGGCAACCATGTGAAGTGTTCTTGTGGTTCCAGTAGTATTGTCTTGATAAGTTTCACTACCCAACATCCAGAGTGATAGAGAGTATGCAAATCACTCCACAGATGTAAAACCATGGTTCTGGCTGCTCTTCAACAGGTTTTATGAGCTGTCAGAGAAGTAAGAAACTTATGGAATGTGGAGCCTGCACAGGGGCAACTCTATGCATAAATCTGTGTTTGTGTTTGATTCACAGCTGATCTAGATCACACCTGTGCATCGCCTGTAGACCCACTAGTATACAAAATGATGCAGTACACATATCATAATAAAAGCTGTAGCTCCTGCAAACACTGTTCCTGTTGCAATGGCTTGTCTGGAGATGATCCGCGCTTTCTGAACTTGATCCAGAAGGGAATTAGTATCGACAGAGCTGGTCACAATATCGGATATCCGTTCTGGGCGATGAGAAATTGTGGGTGTGTCGATTGTGACGATAGGTTTTTCAAAGGCCATATTAATTAACTTTAATGTCAGTCTGTTCTCCTCCATTAGCCTGGCAGGTCTTATTCTACTTAATCCAGAGTTATATATCTCCTCAGTCTTAGGGATGTGTAATCAGCAGGATAGTGTGCTGCTTAAAAGTAGAAGTCTATCTCTATTATCTTAAGTAAGAACTAAAGGTATAAAAGAGGCTATAAAGACTAACTCTCCCTTAATTATGGTACTTAATAATCCTCTGTTATAAATCATTTGATTATAATTAGAGAACAGAGGTATACTAAGAGGTTTTTTAGGCCTCCTTATCACTAAAACCCTTTGCTAGTTCCCTAACAACATATTAACTGCTTAAGTAGGCGCCACTATCACTAGGTGTTAGTGTGGCAGTTAATAGGTAGTGTATAATGTGCTAAAAGATTAATCTAACCCTTAGGCCTGAATAGGCTTTATATTTATAGCTAAACTAGCTTCTTAATTAAGGCTGCCTTCTTAGTTAAGACTACTCTAGCCTGTTAGAATAGACATGTTAATATTCTTCTTAGGTTCTGATAAAGACTCTACCAGTGGTGTAGTAGTTATAGTTAAAGTAAAGCTTAAAGAAAGTGTCTTTATTATAGAGAGAGTATTCTAATTAGTTATAAGTAAGTAATCTAACTCTAGTGTTATTATTAAATCTAGCAGCCTCACTGTATTCATATCTATTTCTTAAAGTATATTATTAACAGCTATCAGGACAGATGGGATGCGGGGAGTCTTAGGATTAATATTAGGTGGCCCTGTTTCAGTAATAATAAGAAGTAAACCTAAAGCTAAGCTCAGCAAGCTAAGATAGGGTGTAGTCTTTAGGCTGTCTCTTCTATTGCTAGTGAATGCTTCTGAGCATGAAGGATCTGGCTGAAACCCTTAATACCAATTCCTGGTCAGACCCTGAGGCAGAGTGATCCACGCGCAGCTGATGCCCTGCTAGTCACATTTCTGTATGCGTACTGGGCGAGCCACCACTCTGTATATTCATAGTGTTCAAAAAGTCAGGGTTGTGCTGCTCTGCGTTTATGGTTATTATCTCCATGAAATTTTGCTATAATGAAGCAGACGACTTAGTGTATAGGACAGAGAAAGATGAGAAACTGCTTTTAATTGTGTCTGTTTTCCAAGCACCTACATGAAGGGAACGACTAGATGTTTTTGGCGCTAGTCAGATCTAAGCCCTCCTCTATCGACAAGAGACTGTGGATGGTATTAACAAACCACAAATGAATGGCCCCGTATGTACCTACACTATTAAGTCTCCGAATAGGGCCCTTGAACTGATATTTGCTGGGATAGCGCAACAGCCAACTGGTCATACATCAAAATTCTTATGGGAAAAAGCTTTTAAGCATCGGAAAATGAGTGAAGGAAGGAAAAGGAAGGAAATCCAAATAGGGACTAAATTTCTAGGACATCAAGCACACTTCCGGTGTTTATACTTGAATCCACGCCCACTTCAATTTCCAAAGGATGAGCACTACCTGAACGGTTTTTATCTATGACCACACACACCTTATAGTGAAATTATATTTCCAGTGCCAGTTTTTGTCCAACCTGTCAGGATAGGATCCCTAATTTTGTTCTCTGATGCTCGCGCGGCGGAAAAGATATCTATTGCTGGAATTCTAGGCCGCATTGGAGAAGGATCTAACAGCAGGCCTGATGTCAATATTTCCCAACTTATATCTTGTGAAGAGCAAAAAGCTTCATACTGTCAAATTTCTGCCGCAAACTTCCAATTTTGGTTACTAGACAGACTCTGAGGTATGAAACAGAAGTCAATCTGCTATCAGTGTTCCCCAAAATCTATTCCCAAAAGATTGAAATGGTGCTTGGATCAAAGTCTGTACAAGAAATTGAATAACAGCATGAGACATATGGTCCTCCTGAATTCCGAAAACATCTTGTTCTTGTCAAAAACACTATAACAAGGCTATCCTAAAGGTCTTAGGCTTAAAATTACTGGAAGCCTTTAATGACATTGCGCCGGGCAGCTCAGACTAGGGGAGATCAGAAAGTATATATATGATAATCCAAAAGCAGGGGTGTGATTTGCCAGGCTGCCTAGACCCGTCGCATGCCGTTGAATTGGCCAAGATGCTATATAGCTAAGAGTCGACTGTTTTGGACTTCCCGTAGGTTATATACAGGCTATTATCCGGATCTAGCCGTACTTTGCTCTCAGATATGCCATTAATGATTTGTGTTCTCCTTTGTTGACCGCTGTGGTTAATTCCAAAGATTGAAACAGAAGAGTTCTGCCTGTAAACAGTCTCCTTCCCTGTACAAAGACAAATATTACGTCTACTCTGCTTGTGTAAATATGAAATAGAAATGGCTTCAAAAATAATGGATTGTACATTCTGTTCTTCCAGATTGAGTTTTTGGAATGGGCTCCTAATCTCTAAACAACTCGTAGACTTAGGGTTTCCTGTTCTGCCATGCACTCTGCTAGACACTGACAGCAGGCAACAAGTAATATGATACACTTCCTGTAAATTATTACCCCTGCTTGCACTGAGCCTGTCGACGATGCTTGACTGAAGGGGCAAGATGACTATTGTTGGGACTAAGCTAGTTGAATCATCAGCCTGTTTGATATCATTTGTTCTAAGTAGCCAATGCAACAAATACTCTGAGAAGGAGGGGGGGGAAACTCGAAAAGTCCAACAAGAAAAAAAAAATAAACAGAATAAGACCGGTGTTGTGATATCGCCTGCGATGTTTGCTCCTTTGTACTGTCGGTTCGTCTAATGTCCAACTCTGCCCATTGTAGAATATCTACCGCTTCAGAATGCCCATATCATCCTGCAGCTGCTGACCAAATTTGTGCTTGTATTCGTCCGCGTAAGCATAAGCTGCTGTTGTAAATATCCTAGATGGTTGGTCTCTAAGGGTGCTAGCTTCAGTATTTGAATCAAGATTATTTTTGCGCAGCCATTTGTTATAGAAGCTACTTATTGTTCTGGGCTTGTTGCCGTGGCTTGGGCTCTCCTGGGTTTGATCTCCTTAGTTCTGATCATTCTGGCTTTTATTACCATGGTGCTCGCTGGCTTGATCCTGGCCACCCTGGCTCTGGTTGCTCGAGTTCTGGCGGGCTGATTTTGGCCTGCGCATATCGCCTAGAGAGGCCCGACCACCCTTGCTCTGGCCTCCCTGCCCTGAAATATATTTATTAGCGTGGTGATCAGTTATATCTCCGCGCGCTGTATTTGACTCACCCGGCTCTGGAGACTCCGTCAAGCCTGCAGGAGTCCTGTTCAGATCTCTTAAGTTACGCCGGTCACCCCACATAATCTCCTGATATCTTTCCACCTGGAGGAGTCCGATTTGGTAGAATTTCCTGTCTGTTCGTTTGTTTGAGGCCTTAGATTGGCTGCTGAGGGCTTTGTAGTTTGTTCTACTGATCCATGTGCGCTCTAATCCATAGAAGAAGGTCATTATCCATAATTTTCACTTTTTATCTCAAGTGTCCAGCCGACGGATCCTACATCAGCGTGGTTTTGAGGTCAGGCTGACTTTTTTCGTTGGGGGCCGGATACACAAGAACGGCACCATTCAATTTGTCCTATTTTTAAATACTTTTGTCTTATCTTTACCCACCTACGACGTTCCGCAAAAAAATTAGGATTATGTCACCAACCACCTTTCTCTTCAACAGGCTATTCCTAGACAAAGCAGCCAAGAAAGACAAGTTATTCTCTCATATATAATATTACTAATCCTTCTATATCTCAGCAGACCTAGAGCAGGCATGACAGAGCACAACATCTCAAGAACACTTATTTGAATTAAAAACACTGTTCTTTCTTATTACCGTTTCAATATGCATTACCAACCTAGCATCAATAGAACACATTGACCTCTTTCCATAACTTGAAGTCTGATAGTACAATAATATACCTTCTCAGAGGTTTTTTATCACGTGCCAATGAAGTCCTTGAAGAGTGTGATTGTGAAAAAGAAAAGAAGCATCTTCCCTGCTTCAAAGGTAACAAACAATCTCACCATGTAAGCAAAACCAAGATTCTCAAACATCTCAGCAATCAGTTCAGAGCTCTTTTAGCTACGTCCTGTCTATACAACCTGCCTGACCAGCCTTTCCTGCGATCAGTGCTGTCGAGATAGTGATTAGAAATAGCTAGCCTGTGTCAACTACCTTATTATCTATTCCTGTTACCCTGCGAGCCCGCACCTTGAAAATTGGCTAGCCAGTGAACTCGGACCTGGAAGAGACGGTCGACTTGGCCGGTCTTCTCTACGACACCAATCAGCGGATGGGAACGGTGATTGACTATCTTTTGAAGGAGCGGGGGATGGGCCCCGCCGGGGAATCCTAATCCTTTGAGATCATGCTAGACCGTGTGATCAACCAGCTTGAGAGCACCGAAGGAGATCGAACGGGTGGGACTAAGTCTCCGGCCCCAGCAGGGGATGTCACCATGGCTGAGAATCCTGCATCAACAGGGGATTCGCCCGCGGCCAGGAGTGCGGCTGTGGGGCAAGCCTGGTCAAGGGTATGAGAAATTGCCATTCTTCATGGCTAGGCGCCGATAACAGGGGGCTGAGATGGTCCTTTTTTAGTGGGCTCTTGTAGAGGGCGTTCAATCATCTTCCTGGTCATCACGGCTTCCTTCCTCATTGCTTCTGACTGATGCTCTTATGCGCGTAGAGAAGTCGGTCATTGCCATTAGATATAGATGTTCAACTCTCTTCAAGACGTCAGAGCCCTACTAGGTTCTATATGTACCTACTTGTTCTCCCCAAATAAAGGCTTCCCAGCAGATGTTTTGCCATTGTTCAGCCTGATCAGCCAGTCCTTGCCTGCCTCATTCACAGTGTCCTGCATTATACATCATTAATATATCGTCCATGAGTTACCTCCGACGCTCATCGTCCACGGGAAGCGAGCCCGAGACTGAAATGACGACCGATTTTCCGTCTACCTCAGAAAGCAGCGATAACACGTCCGAAACCAGCAGCGACCGCGACTTTGTCGTTTCTAATACAGAGACATTGTCACGACGCTCATTCAGTGACTACTCAGCTGATCACAGTATCAGCGACAATGCCGATGACATGTCTATAGAAAGTGTAAACTCTGCTCTAGTCCCTATGATACACCAAAATTGCACTACACTAACCTTGGCCAGCCTCATATCCACCGTTTGAGGCCGATCAAGGTCTTGGCAAAGAGATCGACTAATCGCAACGGACGGGCTGGGACTCAATATCTGGTCTTATGGTGTTCCTGGGAAGACAAAGATAGAATTGCTGGTCTTATTGAGCGAGGTGTGCCTACGGTCTAGTCTGGTGAACGGTCTTCTTATAGATAGTCTGTAGTATTGTTCTTTCAGGTATCTGCTTCACCTTGATGAACAGAACGCCAACGCAACACATCCAGCCTTCCCGTCGAGAAAAAGAAATCAAAACCTGAAAACATCGATAAATATCTGTAGTGTAGTCGGACTGCTTGATAGCTGTATTAGAAGCTGAGTAACGTCATAGCCGTCGCTTCTTGCGCTGCGGCGCCGGTTCCACAAAGTGCACCTGCCGTTTGGTCATCTTCACGCAGTAGCAGGACCGCCGCGGCGGCCAGCGGTCATTCTGGTGGTCTGGTCGCCCAAACACGGCCTCGGCCTGTTGATCGTGCAGTAGCTGTCGTATGGTCTTGGGAAAGCCGCCAATCAGACGCTGTTGGGCTGGGCTGGCGAGCGCAATCATGATCTCTTCGTCCAGGCTTGGCACCGACAGCGTCACTTGTTTGCGGTAGTAACCGCAGAAGAGACATCCATTGTCGTTATCTACTCGGCCCAGTGAGTGATCCCGGCCACTGCAGAAGCGAGCCCCGGGAAATTCTACCAGCACCCGATCCACGATCCGTCGGGACTGCGTCCGCGCACACAGAATCGATCCATGCAGGCGATACTGACCGTCAGCCCGGGATGGAGGAGTATCCAGCTCGAAGAAAAAGCATGAGGCCAACACCGCTCGTACAAGCTCATCGGGCACGGTAAAGGGAAGAGCCGCCAGTTCCTCCAGCTTGCCCACGTCATCCAGCCGCGGGAGATCCCCGTCCAAAGCAAAATCGAGGCGGATGGTGTTCGATCGCAGGGAGGGTGGAACGTGCACCCGCCCCTCCCGGTAGGCCTCCATGCCATCCATGCACGGCGACGAATTATACGCGCGCCAGAGCCGCACGGGCCCCCAGCCAGCGGGAAACTGTCGACCTGGTGGATCGCCCGTGTCCTCCGTCCTGGGAGTGTACCCGGTTCCGACGCTGACGAGCAGATCATGGATGCGCCGCGAGGGCCAGATCATCCGGCATTCTTCCTGAGCGATGCCCATTGGATTATTGGCTCGGACGCCACCATCCTGCAAGGTGCCCCAAGCCAGGAGGTCCCTGGGTCGAAAGAAGCTATCTCCGTCAGCTCATCGATCCCTGCGTCATCAGGAATACATACCACGGAGCGGCAACACTACAGCCAACGCTATGGTCGGTCAGTCTACAATCAGAACTGCCGGTACAAAACTTCAGGGAGGAAGACCTACACGTCCTGCAACCGAGGATTTTGTGTCTCGCCGTCCACCTGCACCACCTCATACGGTAGCTTCTCCGATCTGGATCCTACGCCGCGGTAATTCGGAAAGAGGATGGGCTTGCCATCGGACGCTCGACTCGCCACCACACCGACGCGAGTCCCCGTCGGGACCAAGGCCAGGACGTCAAAGAGTCGCAGTGTCGGAGGCAACACCACGTTGAGGGTGTGGTCAAGACTGTTGGTATCATAATACCCATCTTTCAAGATGCCTACAATGGCCGCCAGCCACGGCCAGAGTCTTGAGGCTGCTCTGCAAGGCCGGAAGACTTTTCGTGCAAATGCTGGAAACTTCTGATATCCCTCTTCGACGGATGTCCCGTTATACACGAGGTCCGCGGTGATGAAGGCGCCTGTAGTCTATCAGTGGGGGGCTTTCCTTTCGAAAGGGGCTGCAGGGAAAACCAGGAGCGGAGAGACTTCAAAGCATCGTTAATCACACTTACCCACACTGGTACCGATGATGTAGTCGGCGATCTCAGCAATAGATATCGCGCTGTCCAATCGTCTTTCTAGTGCCCGTAACAAGCCCAGCGTCACCAGACCGCGGATCCCGCCCCCATCGAGGGCCACGACTACGGCACCTTTCGTTGGGGGAAGCTGACGCACGGTGAGATCGCAGCCCTCTTGACACCAGGGACATCGGCTGAGATCCACATGGTACTCAGCGCTCCGGCTGGGACTGCCGAGAATTGTTACGCAGGTATCACACATCGCATGCCGACACGGCAGCATGTGCTCGGTCGACCGGGTAAGGCAGAAACAGCAGACGGTTGGCAGACAGATTCCTGGCCACCGAGTCCCAATCGCGGTGAGCACTTCTCTCCGGATGGCCACCGATGAGCATCGCGGCCCTAGTTGCTCCGCCAGCTGCTCCAAACACTTGTACACCGCATCACAATGACGACCCGGGTGGGGGTCTTGGTGAATTTCCCACGCTGCCAGGCAGTGCTCTTGATAGAGTCTGTCGTAGACATCGTCCGTCCGGAACCCTGTCTGCATCAGCACGTATCACACTCTCTTGTGAACACTGTGAGGGACCTGGGGCGGGTTGAAGGGGTGCAAAGGGGTGAAGGTTCACACGGAAGAAAAAGGAACAGTGGGAAGAAGGAACAGCTCACTGTGCATGCCAGGAGGATAAGCATCTATCAGCAGCGCACGGAGTTAGGATAGGCTGTAGGGAGCCGTATGGTTTATGGCGTCTGGTGTTATTTTTTAAACACGCGGGGCAAGCTGCGATGTAGGCTCGTAGGAGTTTTGCGCCTTAGTAGATTGCATAACCTTCCAGCTTTCTCATGCAACTCTGAAGACCTTGGTGACCTTCATTATCATGCACTTTCTGGAACAGATCCTTGACAAGTGGGCGTGGAATATAGAGCCACAGTTCCCCATCTGTAAGTTTCGCATAGAGTAAGTTATCCTCCACGGTGTAGGGGAGGGTATTTAAAGATGCCGGGTCGTCTTTCTGCAAGCGTTTCACGCTTTGGAATAAACTCAGCGCCCGAGAGTCGTCGGCGTAGGCCGCCAACAGACGTGCCCGGCATTCAGGGGACAGATGGGTTTCCGTAGCAACTAGGAAAGCGTCCAGATCAGCATCTTGAGAAGGGTCAGAACTGGCGTCTTTCGAGGGCAGCCTTGATAAGGCGTCGGCGACGATGTTTGATTTGCCTGGCTTGTGTATGCAGAGTAGAGAAAATTATTGGATACAGAGAGAACCCTCTAGATCGAAAAAACCGGACGTCCTACCAATGTCATACGATCAGGTCGATGAACTGGAAGATGGTTGAATTGCTAAGCTAACTAATGGCTGCTACTTCACTATCTAGCGAGCAAAGGCGGTCAGCCATGACAGGGACTACTGAATACTGAGAATATTAAAAGAAAGAAGAGCTCTTAATACAAGCGGACTTTCCTGGACAAAATCCACAGTGATAGACATGATAGAATCATCTAGATACATCTGAATAGAAGTAAGAAAGAAATCAGTCCTGGCTAATCCAAATCTCTTATAGTTCTACCATTCTTACAGCTGGACCCTATTTGTTATGGTACTAGATTTGATGAAGCCGTAGAACGGCTATACGGATTTTGATAGTAGTAGTAAGATGGATTCCTAAGGATCGTGGTAGCACTACTGACTAGATAACTACCTAATCATGTGCCGTAGTCATGTGACTTGGTGACAACTATGGTCATGTGACATGTGATGGTGAACATCATCACACTATTTATATAAGAAAGAAGAACTGTTCCGCCCAAGTATAGACGCTCTGCCCTTATTCTGTATCTGTATTTGTTAATATAAATTGACATCTGCGATCCCATGCTCCTATGGGCAGTGGCCAAGTGAATAAATAGAATGAACCGCCGGGCAGACTTGGTATTATATAGAGGTAATCACCCACTTTCGGCACGCGATACCACTCCGCAAAATTTTCAATTCAAACACATTAATACCATTTAATCCAGATCGGGTGCTCAGTCAGCTTAATATCCAGCTCAAAACTCCTACACCACCTCCAAGCCGATCAACTGCTTCTATTCCAAAAACACCTCACAATCTTAAGCAGTTAAAAAAGCAGGAAAGTATGCTTAAGAAGCTGCTCAGGGAGCGAACATGCAGCCCTTCTACCCCTACTAAGGCTGCTTTAGACCAGCTGATCAAGGGTTGTGAGATAGCTATGAATAACGCTATTCTTCTTGCAAAGGAAAACCAAGATCTACGGGCTGCGCATGAAAAGCAACTTTGAAAGAAGAAGCAGTCTAAGCAACAGATAGAAACTGCAGAGGGATTCTCTATTTAGGAAGGCCAGGAGTTCATATAATACAGGAACCAGGCTGATGAAGCTATACGAACTGTCTCTACGGAGTAAGCAGTGGATGCTGAGCAACGCCCTAAACGGGCGCCCCCACGCTGTAGTGACTGCCATATTCTAGTATAAATTTAAAGTGGTACTCCATACTGCGTAGAAACCATCCTCGAATGCCATCATAATTGGTTACCAGATATTATGATGTTGCAAAAATATTTCTCCAAATATGCCCCTCCGCCACTCCTCTAATGCCCAAAATCAGTACCCATCATATCCAAAGGCTATACCAATGCACTTTGCCGGCTCTATTCATAATGTTAAGTGTATCATATTGAAAGCCCACAGATATCACAATGGTAATAGGAGACAGCCTGAAATCTGCCATAGCCGACTTCCAAAATTATCCTGGTGAGGTCCTCAATTATTGTTATCCGAATCCAGGTGAGACTGATTCTCTGGGCTAATCTGATGCTTCCATCCAGAACCAATCAGCCATCATATGCCTGGGCATCTTGGTTCCATGACCGGACCTACTTGGGCCCAGCCTTGACTATATTGCCATCATTTGACCCATCAAGATGGACCACTTTGAATGGAATCCTATTGCCATACAATGGAAACCGATGAGTTGGTATTAGACGTGCGGGAGAGCAGTCTCCAGGCATTACTTTGGTGTTTGGTATACAAGCCCTTTTCTGTTATGCGCTCCAAGCACGCTGCCTATATCTGCCTTTCTTTATTGTCCCTATACTCAAAGACTTTAAGAAAGGGTGCGATCGATTTTTCCGAAATTCGAAATAGGGCAGACTGTAATCATGAGTAGGAAAGAATTGCCTGATGGCCCGGGAATCAGGAGAAACGATGACCCCACTTTTTCCCTTTTGCCCAGTCAGATGAGGTTTCCCTGCCAAGACTTGCGGACTAGCGCCCCCATATGGCCACCCATGTTTATTCAAATGTGTTCCGGAGGTGAATATGAACATTGTTAACCGTGCCTGATGGTCTGGTGTAGCTATGCTTTACAAAGCTATTAGCAGAGTCCAGGGACGAGGTTATCCCCATATTTAATAGTGCAAACGGCTATCGCGTCCGACCAAGTTGGAGGCACGGCGAAGGTGGGTCATAACAACCGCTGGCCACTGACTCTTGGGTTCGGAGTGTGTCGATATATACTGTACCTATCAGTTGGTGGGATGCTGCAAGCAAAGTAGGTACGGAAGCGGATTCATACCATGCCATAAGGTAGTTTGATAAAAGTATCGAAGGATAAGACGACAAACATGAGCTAGTGTTTGTCAAATTATTTCATAGTAATATGATAAAATGACCCTGCTCCAGAAAGGAGAGGACGCTAGAGTATAGCGCGCTGTGATGGATACCTAGCTATGTCGCATATCCCGCGTCCTAAGTGCCCTCAATTAGATACATGTATCCCCAAACCACTATGCTGTCGATTTAAAGAGCACTTAAATTCTGCTCAGAGTACGTCAGTTTTCAGAATACAAGATCTCTCATATACTCCTGCGCAGTACGCCTGGGCTACAGATTGGTATTTGCTATCAAGAGTACCTTAAACCGCCCTGTAATTGTTGAGGTGCACAATCTCATAATCAGTCGTGCCGCTCAGAAGAGGACGGATGCGTTAAGTGCTGCAACTGGTGGTGAGGCCAGCTATGTTCAATGGCAGTTTGCGTCTATTATTTGAGGTCTATTATCCGTTTCTGAACCTTCATGAATCAATCACACTAGAACCAACACCTGCTTCGCGTCTTGCCGCAAGACCCGTGCCAAAACATGATATTTATCTTGACAAGAACTCGCAGAAGATCTTGGGAAATGCCATGCCTACGCCATGCAGTCATCATTCCAGTCCCGTGTTGAACGGGAAGAGCAGTCGCTGGAGGCATACCGCGAGGACCGCTATCATGGTAGTGCTCGTGTTCGACTTGATTGCATCTCGTTTGAGAGCGGATTCAGCCAACTTATGAGCGATGGCCGTAACTCGATCCGAATGGAACGTATCTTAGAGATTCAAGGCTGCCTACAGGTCAATCGAGACTACCATGTGCCAGTGTTGGTCAGCTCTGCGGACTGGGGTCACCGTATTCGTTTTAGCGAGACTGGAGGTGGCCGCTTGCCGGAACTGATCGTCCCTTTAGATACTGTCCTACATGCAATGAATCATGAGAGCCTTATCTCGGCAGCGCGAAAGTGGCTCAGCCCGCAGAACCGCTGGTGGGTGGTGGATGTATACGTGGAGGATCAAGGTGGGTGCTACCACGATGTCCGACAATAGGCAGCTACGCCGGGGCCCCCGAACTCCTGAATACCACTGGCTTACTATGCCCAGCACCGGAAAACGCGGAGACAGACATGGATCTCGGACGGCGCCAACTCGGCGTCCGCCTAGTCCGTGCTCTACGGGAACAGTTTCGGAATGAGCGACAGCCGCCCGATGGCCTAATTTACTATAAGCTTCGGCTGTATGAGGGCGCCCTCGACCAGCCGGCCGATCGAGACGCGGCTAATAAGTGGTGGGCCATCCTGCAGAACAACCCGGCCACCAAGAAACACAAGTATCTGCGAGCGTTCTTCCGCCATGGCTGTTTCCCTCAGGCTTTCGATGCCTTGCTTCCGATTCCCGGGCTCTGGGCCGGAATGCAGATCGGGGTCCTTCATACGCTGTTGTCCCTACGCTGTGACGAAGTAGGCAATCTCATCAATGGATAGCGCGGCAGGTAGCCGAGCAGCTGACATTATTGCCACCAGGAAATACTATCCTACCTCGACCATATAGGATGCACATTCGTTACCCGGATCTTCGGCGACGATACAGAGCTTGCGGCGGGTGCGGACGCTGCGAGTGTCCAGATGTTGCAGTCTCGTGTGCCGAGGGTATCGAACCGTGACCTGGACTTTCTACAGAAAAGAATGAATGACGGGACTCTCTTCCCATCTATTCAAGACAGCACGAAGCGAGATGCCGTCTGGAACCGACTGCAAACCATCGATGTCCCAATTCCCACCCTGCAGACTTTCTTTTCTGACTTACGGTATTTGGCTATTGCACGGAAAGTTATGCGAGCACTTCTGCAGATCAACAACCCGAGGACCAAAATGTCTATCGACGAGAGGCTGGGTAGCCAGCACCACATGATCGGACGTCTTCCCCTGGGCGAGGGAAAGCGCGTCATACAGCAAGGGCTACGCGAGCTATGGCGTTTCAGCTTTCAATATGGCCTGGAGATGACAGGGACCGCCCGCCTCCAGCCTCGCGATCACCGAACACAAGGGGCTGCAGCAATAATACCTGACGTGACTGCTTCGATGGATCGGACGAGGCTCTGGCAACACTTCTTCTGGCTGGCTGACCACGAAGGCTTCAGCATCCCGTCTCTCGATGGTTTCGGGGCCCAACTGATGGACCTCCCTATGGTCCCAGCTGTGGCAGACAGTCCTGAGAACTGGAGTGAGGATGAGCCTATATATAGATAATGTAGTATCCCCTTTACCTACACTACTGATATAGACTGGTCCGCCCTCTCTAAGGAGGTGTTAGAGTAAGTATAGGAACTACAGAGTGTTATATTAATGCTTATCTAGCAGACATAGTTCTGAGCCTTCTTCTATTACTTAGGCAGGGATACCCACAGCAGTTCCATAATTAACCCTCCAGAGAGCTGGACACCAACACCACCTATAGATATATTTGTCTCAGAGCATATAATTCCTCTAAACACCTCTGAAAACAGCACTGAGGAGCAGAGCATATTTCTAATATTACTAGTGGATGTTTTAGATATTATAAATTCCTTCTAGAACATAGGAATGGATATATAGGGTAATAAAATTATACTCTGGGTGCTAATAAAAGTACTATATTATCTAAAGAGATTAATTAAAATAAACAGTGACCACACCTGGGCTATTAGCTTTTTGGATGGATTAAAATCTTGGGGCTTCATGCTTAATGTGGCTAGTATTTAGAGTGTGGAGAGTGTAGATATTTATGAATAGTAGTTTAAGCATCTATTTAACTATGTGCAAGCCATGCTAACTAAAGATGCTATAATGTAATATAATACTCCTGTAGAGAACCAGCTAAAGAGGAGGAGGTAGGATCTAGATCCTGCTACTATCCTAGGCACTGTGCGTGAGATTATAGCATGGATTAATAGATAGGTTTAATTATTAGTTATTAAGGAGGAACTTTAATCTTTTACTGTAGTGTTGGTGAGAGACACATAAGATGTTATAACCAAGCCTAATATTATATATGATGAAGTATAATACTTGTTGCTTTTGTTAGCTAACTCTATATTCTGTCTTTTATGGGACAGTATATTTAATTAAGCTATGTCTTTTCCTATTATGCCTCTAGATAAATAGTGATGGTATAGACATTCTCTGTTAGTTAGTTATCCATCTAGGCCATGTTGGCGCCCCACTTGGCCTGTTTAATTCATCCTGCCCATTAAATAATAAAGATCCCCCTCTAGTTCTGCACAGTCTACTAATATAGTAACATAAGACACCCACTGTCAAAAGAGAATTTATATATATGCCAGGCTGGAAATATTATATTTCTCTATTAATATTTTTACTAATCTTGCTTATCACCATGCACCAAACCATAATGTATAGAAGGAAGTGCCCTTATATAATATAGGCGACCAACCTAGTAACTAGACATAGTTCAACCTATTCTAGACGCAAGAAAACCATCATAATTACCTGAATAGATGGGTAAATACTTAAATATCACCTAAAATACTTATTCTTCAGTCCACCTCCAAAACTCTTGGCTGCACTATGAAGCAGAGGCTTAAGTCTTCTGTGGCTAAGAAGTCACTCTGGCTAGGCACCTTAAGGAAAGCAGGGTTGTCTATATCCAGTCTCTTAAAATGGGTTGATCTGATCTTCTATTACAGATAGGAATTATTGGGCAATGCCAGCACCCAAGCTTTCTTCGCCTCTTGGATGTGTATGATGATAGTGGTCCAAGTCTGGCAGAGATGTCTACTTGCTCCAATGTACTATTGATGCCCCGCGTGAGCAGTTGATACATGATGGTGACTGTCAAAGACGCTCCAGTGACCAAGAGCGATGACACCTGTTCGTTGTTGTCAGCATAAACTCTAATGTTTCTCTTGTTTGCTTACCGCAGAAGAGATCATGGTGACTAGCATTGCTAATGGGAACCTGAGCAGACCGGCGATAACAGCAATAAATGTGGCAATGAACGCCATCATGTAGGCGGCCACGGTCCAATGCGACACCCGGCGATAGTCCTTCAGGACTGGCTGCGTCCAGTCTGCTAATACTCCGTTCGCCTGGCCCAGCTGACTGGAAAGAAGGTCGACCAAGTCGAAGGAAAAGGAAGCACTAGGCGCTGAGTAGTTTGCGAAATCCTGGGCACCTAGCTTGCCATTGCAATAGCTCCACAGGCCGACCGCATAGTACTCCGGGAATGCTTAACTGGTCACTGTTCTGTTCTATTTGAATCGATTTACCTTCCCCTGTAATTCAGAATCCATGTGAGATATCGCAGAGACTGGGGAAAGACTATAAATTTGCAACCTTTATAGTCATGAGGTCTGATCTACCTATAACATCTATAGCTGGCCACATCGAATGCCCCTTATGCTTGACAAAACTGCGCCCTGTGAGACATATAAACAAACCCTTGTCATCTAGTCACTCTACACTTGGAAAAGGAGACAATACCAGCGTCTACAGTTGCTCTTTCAACTGTCCTGAATCGGTACAGTAGTTCTCGAAACCGGTTTAACCAACAAAAAATTTGATAACAATTTTCGGACACGCTGCCAAACCTTTGCCTGACTTAGCCGTTTGATTCCCGAGATCTCGACTCCACCATAGACATCTCCTCGATTCCTTCTCATAAAATTAAGTGGGTTGAAGGCAAAGATTAATGGTTATACTGGATAGGATGTAGCGCTTTACTGTTAAAAAAAAACTGTTAAAAAAAATAAAGGGGAGGGATTTGCGCACAGGAAGCTTACTGGCCTGCCTACTAGTATTGAGTTGTAGTTTGTTGGAGGCAATGTCAAGGAAGAAGAATCCCAATACTGCTAAGGCCAAGTTCATATTCTATACTTGTATTGTATTTAAGCGCCACCTTTCAGCCCCTAAAGACAAGTTATTTGCTGTCCCTTTATCTGATCTGTTTGCAAATATTATAGAGATACATTTAATTACAGCTTCTTGCGTATTTGGCTTGCTTTTATTGCCTCATGGATTTCAGGGCCAAGTGTATGAAGAATCGCATCCTCCTGCGCTCCTTTCAATGTTATTTCAGGATTAGAAATCAATTTGAACCCCTCATTTAATATCACATGCTGAACCTATTCCTCGGATTCCACATGTACATTAAACAAAGCAAATGCCAGGTATATAGGTTTATCCTGGTGGATAGCCAAGTTCATGAGGCAATCTACCAGTCTAACAAAAGGGAAGTCTATAGTGGCGGCAGCAGCTTGAGGGATTCTCCATTGCTGACTATGTCCTTCCTTATGGCGCCATAATAGGTAGGAGTCAAAAACATCAATAATCCCTTCCAGAGAAGCCTTTTCAAGGAAGACGTGTTGTAGGGAAATTTGGCTGGCCAGCAAGTCATTAGGACCCCTCCCTCCCCCTTAATTGGCAGTTCATCAATTGGAGGACACCCCTATATCGCTGTGAGATTTTGGCAAAGAATTTGAGTAACAGGAATCTCTTCAGAATGACCACTGGTGGTATAGGTAGCCCTTTAGAGCTAACACATTCAATGATAGTAACCCATTCCCAATTGCCCTGGATGACTGTACAAGGTCTCTCACTGCACTCTACAGTAGTGATGACCTTAGATATTATACAGAGTCCCATCGCAAAGCCAGTTTCATCAAAGTTCCAGATATCATCTTCATGAATGCCATATCCCTGAATGGCTTTATGTACAGCTTTAAACCACTGTTTTATAGCCTTTAGATTCTCCTGCTTTGCACGCTGGTATGTAATCCTTTAATTATATCTTACACAGAGTTCAGGATGGTGTTTAACAAAGGAGGAGGCCTAGTTAACCCTAAGGACTGCAGTAGCATCTTAGGAATGTTCACAAAGTAAAGTCTGTGCCATTCCACGCAGAAACTCTAGACAGATTGAAAAGCCTCACTTATCTACATCCAACAGTCTCTTCACAAGGACATCCTCTTCAATTGCTATTAATTTATGGCCACTAGGACGTGTTTCTGACTGTGGATTGATTCCTTTGAGCTAATCAAGGAAGGTAGATTTAGGCACTCCAAATATGGCTGCAGCCCTTGATTTTGATTGAACTTTTTTGCTTTTATAAGCTGCAATAGCCATTTGCATCCGATTTTCTTGAGAGAGCGGCATTTTATGTAGTAGTAGTGAAAAAACGACGTGTTGAAGAATGATTGTAGAAGATGGGCGTGAAAATGGACAGGACGGCCGTGTGGACGACTCGGCTGTGAATTACGTTAGTTTTACTTTCCTCTCCTGCATCTCTCCTACAATTCTCTACTCTCTTTTATCCTGTTCTGAAGCGACTCACAGTTTTTAATTCGGCCCTCCTGAGTAATTATAATCTGCTCACCGGTGAGATCAGCAAGTACCAGGTCCTTTTCATGGAGAAATTTGACGCCTTCAATAACCTTTCAATGGTTAGTCATCGGTCTGGAGCAGGAATATGGATTCATACAGGACAGATAATTTGGCCAAGTTCATCTTTCTTGAGCCGGCAGCATGAAAGGAGAACGCAGCCTAATATAGACTTAGCTGGTCCTTACAGAAGGTAGTAAGTTAAGCAATAGCACAGCACATTAAGCAGACAGAGAAAGCTGGGATAAGCCACCTAAAAGAGGCTGCGCGAGATTTTTAACCATAGCTAATTCCATGTAGATCTCTGTGATATTAACTATCTCCACAGGGCTGCTACAGTGGATAGCAAGGCAAACAAGATGTCTAGTATGAATAAGAGCTCTAGGGATGTATAACTCCCACAGGTCTTAAATTATAATTTTCAGAATAGGCGGGCGTTTATGGCAGTCGTTTCTGTTCTTATAAGCATCTAGGCAACTAAATTATGTGGCTGGGGCTAACCACATTGGATTTTTGTGTTGGATCTTCCAGGATAACTAGAGGCTTATCATCCTTAAACTGGACTGTCTGTCGCGTGTCAGATATCGCGTGGTTTTAGAGTTTGGATAGAGAGGTGCAGAAAATAAGTAGTTGTGGGGGCAGAGATATTTAATATATGATATCAGATTACTAGACATAGTCATATTATATTTCAACAACCTGAGATGCCCACAATTCTTGACCCTTGTTTTGAGTAATATAAATCCTCATGAACAGTGTAAGTTTAATCTTAGCAACCTTAGCAGGTGCCATGATGTACATAATAATGCTTTCTATATAAATACCTTCCTACTAGGCAGGCTATTCTATTTAGGGCTGCTCTGTTAGTTCCTTATTTATATTTCTTATTTAAAATTATTTTGTAAAGCACGCACCTTTTAGCTTAGAATCATTATCTTTAACTATTCTTATTCCTACATAGAAACACCGCGCATTAGTTAGGTTTAGTCTATGCCTTTCTAGATCTTCTACATCTTATATTTAGCCACATACCTTCTGGTTACCTATAATAGACAGTGAGACTAGACACCTAGTAAGAGGCAGTGTTAGTAGCATCCCTTAGGGAATAATAATAAGCATAACACACTATAATTATAGTAAGCATCCACACTATCAGAATGGAAGCAGCAAATATAATGTGAGTTTATGTTTAAGCTAATCTTGACATTGCTATTTAATAATATCTATTAATATATAATCATTATAGTCTAATTTAAGGAATGCTCTATCCTGCAGAAGCTATAGGGTGGGCATAAGCATCCACCAGTTTCTATAGGTATAATACTTTAGAACTTTTACTAAGCTTCTAAATTTTGCAGGAATAAGGTAAATAATCTGAAAATATAGGTAATCCAAGCTAGGCCAAAGGTCTGAGGCACCAACTACTCACACTCATTATTGTTTCTGGGGGCGCAAAGTGTGGAAATTGCTACCATTATTTCTTGTATAGACACTTAATTTATGCCCTCTTGCCTTCCTTTTGATACTTACAACTTAAGTTTGCCTTGGAACTATTTTTCTGTACATTGTCCTAGCCAAACCCTCTCAGATGGCAGCGGGAATGTCAGGCATGGCTTGTAATATCAGATAAATTCCTTGACTTTAATTGCTCTATAACAATAGAAGATTCACTTCTGCTTGAGCATGTATCAAATTATCAGGCTATTAATTAATAACAATTAGAAGCCATCACAATCTTCAAGTCTTTACAAGTGGAAAGGGAATATACTCGATTCAATATACACAGTGGATCATTTGTCTCAGTAAGATCTGCGTTCTTCCATCGCCAACCCCAACTCTCATAATCTTTATCAATCGGAAATCCCGCCGCCTATATCCCTCCAACACGTGGCGGTATTTTTACGAGACCGCTCGGTCATTGTAGTCGTTTTCCTCAGCATGCAATTTTTATAGCATGCGAGCGGATCTGCTTCCCGTCTGCTACTTTCTGGATTTTCTCTTGTAGATTTGGCAAGCAGAAACCACCTATCAGCTGCCCTACATTTCATCAGCTTGGCCCGGTCTTCGCAGACATACCTGTCGTGTCACCATGTGCACACCTCCCTTGTCCTTGGTCAATTCGTCCACTGGGGTTCCCACACTGACCAGCCTTCAGAAGCCGCCAGGAACAGGCTGCTGCATCTTTTGTGTTGACCCGTAACCAGCAAAGAATCTCTGCAGCCATGTTGTCGGTAATTCAGCAGATGATAACATAATTATCTGATATATTATCTGATATGTACAAAGTAGGTATGTCAAGCCTTGCTTGAAGTGTGTAGGAGAAGAGCAGCCGGTAGGGCAAATGGACCCCCTGAAGTAGAACCAGCATTGATGATCCAGAGCAAAGAGATGCCCAACCTTAACCAGGGCGAACCCACCAGAAATCACTGAAGATGCCTGGTCATTCTTTGTCTTCCCCTTCTTAACTTGCATTATCTTTATCAGCCAGACATTGCGAGTTCTTACTTCCAATGCGGGGCTGTTTTCTCAACCGAACACTTGGTCATCGTAGTCAGTATATACAGTAAGTGAGCTCATCTGCTTTGTCTATGGTCTATTCTTGCCCGAGACTTCCGTTGCAGGCCTGGCAAGCACCAAGCAATTACCTTCAATTCACAGCTTGGTCCGACCTTCGTAGACATACCCGACGTGTCACCACGTGCAAAACGTCCCTCGTCTTGGTCAATGCGCTCCATTCGGCGGATCGTGGCTTCTGTTGGGAGAAGTGACAACAATTATCTTGTTAACTGAATGACTTGGGGAGTTATCTTTTACAGGAGCGGAATGCCTCATATATATTTTCCAATCCCAATTTCTGCCACAAGGTTCAGCCACCATAATATTCAACACAGCCACCCGTGATACTCAACAGCTT